GCTGGTGTGAACTTCAATGACGGTTTCGGTGGCGGAAGTAATTTGACAGAGAATGTTCTGTTCAATACTTGTCGCGAGTCCGGAGATCACGGACCGTTCAACAGCTGGGACAGGCAGGTAAGAGAAAGGCACCTACTGTAATCTACAAAATTCCGGCAGCTATTCAGTTTTGGCTATACACACACAAGAGAGAGAGAGAGAGAGAGAGAGAGAGAGAGAGAGAGAGAGAGAGAGAGAGAGAGAGAGAGAGAGAGAGAGAGAGAGAGAGAGAGAGAGAGAGAGAGAGAGAGAGAGAGAGAGAGAGAGAGAGAGAGAGAGAGAGAGAGAGAGAGAGAGAGAGAGAGAGAGAGAGAGAGAGAGAGAGAGAGAGAGAGAGAGAGAGAGAGAGAGAGAGAGAGGGGGGGAGGGAGTGTGAGAGAATCATATTGGTGATATGAGCGAGAGGGGAGGGAGAGGGAGAGAGAGAGAGAGAGAGAGAGAGAGAGAGAGAGAGAGAGAGAGAGAGAGAGAGAGAGAGAGAGAGAGAGAGAGAGAGAGAGAGAGAGAGAGAGAGAGAGAGAGAGAGAGAGAGAGAGAGAGAGAGAGAGAGAGAGAGAGAGAGAGAGAGAGAGAGAGAGAGAGAGAGAGAGAGAGAGAGAGAGAGGGATCTGTGTTGCAACTCCGAGCTTCACGTAGTCACGATCATCAGTCAATTCCAGCTATATTTGGTGCTGACCTAAAACGCCAAGATTAATATGCTGGCAGATGAAATTTTTCACATCGGCTTTGGTGATGTACTAGTATTAACCCCTTATCAAAAATAAATCGCTGCCGGAATGCCGAAAATCGTGAAATGCCAAAATTGTGCGGAGCCGAAATTTTGCTTATTTTTCTCTGGTTAGAGTTGGAAATCGTTTCCATTGCTGGGGTGTACTGCATAATTTGAATGCGCTGTTGCAGATTTTCAACTCTTAGACATTGTTTTCCGACTGTGGATATGAAACATACATTTGACTATGTTGAATCCATCTTGAATAGTCCAAGCCTTGTCCACGGTGACGGCTGGAGACTGGTGGGATATCTTTCTACGAGAATCCAGCATTGCATTGCACTAAATTGCAGTTGTTTGTGCTTGACTATAGTGTAGAGCATTTTGGCTATGGTGTAAAGCATAGAGTTATACGTCTCTTCGACGCTACGAGGCTATGCAGGTGTTTCACCGCATGTAAAGAGTAATAATTTGTTTGGTCTGCACTGTATACTGTATTATGCCATTCGTGTACATGTACATGTGCTGTAGGTGTTCACCTTTATTCTGGACGAAGCCGGCCAGCCAACAACCACCAAGCGTTTTGACAACATTGCCTATAACTACATCCTGGATAACTACGATAGCCAGGAAGGCATCGACAATGATGACGGCTCGGCGTACTACGAAACCCATCACAACGTGTTCGTGTACAGCGGGAATGGGATGAAGAACGACTTCAACGGCCACGACAACCACCATCACAACAACATATACGCGTATGTCGGCCATGGATTTGGAATCTGCGGCCAGCGAGAAGGGCACGTGGACATGTTCTACAACAACACGCTCGTCCAGACGCGAGACGGTGACTATGGTAACCCGGCATGCTCCGGGCCCGGCAAGACCGTCGTCCATGACAACAGTGTGTACACACCGACTGGCAGCGTAACCGAGTGTCGCATGTCGCTGGCAGACTGGCAGAAGCAAGGTAATGACCCGGGCACTACAGCTGCCAAGTACCCAGAGGACAATGTCCTGCTCCATGAGATCAGCACCTTGCTCGAGATCGACTGAACACACACCTCATACAAATCCACCATAATGATCACTATGAAGTGCGCATCGGGTGATAGATAAAATTTCCAATATTAGTTCGTGCAAATGGCCATTGAGATTTTCTCCTTATTTTATGTGTTGCAAATTTACAAGAATTTTGTGATTCAGATGCTTTTCATTCTTCCACGTTTTAAAGTTTGCAGGTTCCATGAGTTCCAGTATTTTTTTTAAATCAGGCTTGAAAGTGCTACGTCACAGCCCGAGTCATGGCAACGCTGGCTTTTGGATGTACTTTGTGTATGGATCCAGGCAAGTTTGGGTGGTGGTCTTCCTTCACACCAGGGTGATTCATTCGGCTGCAGTGGCGGGGCTAGGCCCTCCCGGTCGGGGACCCAACCTTTGCAGAAAAATAACACCTGCATGCATGCGGTACGAAGGGCCTACCAACCATTACGTATACTGTAGTTCTCTATGGTCAAAGTGTATCTAAGTATTTGCCCCAGAAGTCGTTATTTGTTGACTTTCCACGTCTTCACTTTCATTGAGCCCTATTGACAGACCGCTCCTCCCTCCATACACGTGTAGTACATGACATACACACACACACACACATACACATACCTACTAGTATTGCCTGTCTAACTGGAAGAAATGTTTGAAGGATAGGCAAATGTGAGGGGCTACGGATAGACGATTGGAGTCCTGCCAGTGCAAGCGTGCCAGGAAAATGAGAGCTGCCGATGAAAATCCCTGGGGTTAAGGAGGTGTTGGAGTTTTCAATAGCTAGAGTCTGAAGAATGGTGTCATGATGGCACGGGACCGACTCAACTCACGAGGGTGATTGAAACGAAGCAGAGGACAGCGATAACGGCGACAGGGAGAATACGCGCAGAGTCGCCCTACTGTGGCGCAGGAAGACGTTCCGCAGGAAGACGTTGGATTGCTCTAGACAACACCTTTGTATTCCTGAGGATGTGATGGATAGGGATATAAACCATTCCCATTGATACTCGTATGTTCTTCTCGTTGCAGGTCCTAGCATGGGAGCCCTACAACCGCTGTTGGCGTGCTGCTAATGGTGTTCTAACTCGGTAGCTGTGCGAATACAAGCCCGGTGTGCATCATCGCCCACGTATGAATACAGGTCTCGACATCTCACTACACGCTGTTACAAGCATGATGGACTAGACAAGCTTGACTGTGGACAGGTGATAATGAGTGGGGTGCAGTCTCCTGGCTTCACAATATCACAGCTCAACTGTCATAGTCTGGAATTGTTTGTGTGGGATGTGGCTGTGGAGATGCACACAATGTCACAGAGCGTGTGTGTGTGTGTGTGTGTGTGTGTGTGTGTGTGTGTGTGTGTGTGTGTGTGTGTGTGTGTGTGTGTGTGTGTGTGTGTGTGTGTGTGTGTGTGTGTGTGTGTGTGTGTGTGTGTGTGTGTGTGTGTGTGTGTGTGTGTGTGTGTGTGTGTGTGTGTGTGTGTGTGTGTGTGTGTGTGTGTGGTGTGTGTGTGTGTGTGTTGTCGGTATCGTGTTGCACGTCATACCTGTCGTCAAAGTCACTTGTCAGCTGCGTCCGTCAGCTGCGCACCAGACCAGGCCCACCCCCCCCCCCCCCCACACACACACATGTCGCGTGGAAAGACTATGCTGTCCGAAAAACCCACGCAGTTGTGTGATAACGAGCAAACAGAAGGGCTTTTATGGCCACGATTACCACAGTCCGTGCACTTGTAGCGCTGTGGTTTGCTCCGTCCTCCCCGCTCCGCCTAAAGGAACAGAATCTTACTTGCTGTGTTTATTCCGTCACCCAGAGGTGACAGCAGCAACGTGAGAGCTCACATGCAGTCCAACGTGACTTTGGTCTGGGTATGGGACACAGATACGATAATACATGCAGTGCCCCTGTTCGCACTGAATCTAGCCTGAATGGCGCTGTTCATGCGTGAGTCGTCATGCCAGTGCCTTTTGCCGGCTCGCCCAACATTGGTAAATACCAGAGGAGTAATGTCCACTGTTTAGAGTTTATACCGGTTCATATTAATTTTTCTTCTCCTTCTAGTTCTCTGGCCCAGTGTTTTCTTTCACCCTTTGCACTCACAGACATGCAGTCAATGATCCCCCCGGGTAAGGCCAAAGGGTAAGGGAACAACCAAAAGAAGAATCCAACTGCGCACTGGTCGACCAGGGCATGCCACAGTGTATGGTGCGACTACAGACAGTAGTGACGTCCCTCAGCCTTGCATAGTAACGGGTGCCGTAGAATTTCAGCACTCGTTGTAGTGCTACTGTGTGCTATGCTTGGCAATGTTCACAATGGTTTACTATCACCCCCATTATTGGTTCTCTTGTTACCATGGTTACAGCACGTGCACTGCACATTATATTTATGATGATGTATACATGTAGTGGGCCTGATTCTGAAGTGTGCTCTTATTGTGCGCATACTCGTATCTAATGCCATGGCAAGGATACCGGGCACCATTGGTCTGCCTGCGCAGCTGCGTCAGCTATCAGGCCGTCGTGCACGTGATCAACGCTGATCATGCTCCGTCTAGTCTGTTTGGTTGTTTACGGACACGAGTCTACGCCTGCTAGTGTGGGTGGTGGGTGGTGGTTGTACTGGTAGGCAGTGGTAGGCAGTAGTAGGGGGTACATGGTGGAAGGCATGGGGGGACTGCGTCACCAGGAGTCTACTGTCCGTTTATCACTGCACAGCATCCCGGATCAAACTTCTACGTCATGGATCAGCACCGACCATGATGTTGGCCAGTCGCTGTCTTGTGCCACATAGCAGCGTTCAGCTGCTACATGTATGTGGCACAATGCATTTATGTACATGTCCATGGACTGCACATGGACTGCACATGGACTTGACAGGGACTAGCCTGAAGTCCGATCCGGACAACATCGTGTTGACAGCAGAGTAGACGAACACATGTCGCGCGCAGTTACAGCGGTTTTCTCCGTGTTTATGCACCGCCCACACACCGACATCGTAACATCGCCCAGATGTTTGCGGTGGAGAATTGGCCAACTTGGCGGGTTGAGCGAGAATAAAAGCGAAGCGGTGATCCTCTCCAAGTCATACCTTCAGAGTCTCAAGAGAAGAGAAAGTAGGAAAAGATTCGCTGCACAGGGCTATAATTATTACAATTTGCTTGAAGCTTGACTTTGGGTAATCCTGAAATACAGATCATTCCTGAAGAGCCATGGCATTTGCCCTCAACTTGTTCGCTGTGCTGGCTGTTGTGTCGGTGACAGAGGTACTGGGCTTTGCTTCCTATCGCTCACGAATCCCTAACGGATTCGCTGTTCAACATCCCTGTGATGCCAGCAAAGTCTGGTCGGGCGTGGGGCACAACAGTGATCAAGGCGGTGACGCTCGCAACCCGTTCGGCTTGGACTTCCAGGCGACAGGCCACGCCTGGACCGACAGTCTCTGCCGTGCCGATTCCGATAAGGACGGACTGACCAATGGGCAAGAGTTGGGTGATCCCGACTGCAAGTGGCAGCCTGGGCAATCTGCACAGCGCTCCACCAACATCACGCATCCAGGGTTTGATTCCAGCCGGGTAGACTGTACGCGATTCTTCAAGCGCTGCAAGGCATTCGACGCCCCGGGCGTGAAGTACTTTGACCTACGCGCTGCGAACGGTTCTGAAGACACCATAGTGCCCGCCAAGGAAACTACGTACTATAACATGAACTTCGAGTTGCCTGCAGATCGCCAGTATCATGCAGTTGGATTTGCACCGATCCTGGACAACGTCAACGTTATCCACCACTTCCTCGTCTACAGCTGTGATAGGCCTCGTCCAACCGGCAAAGGCTTCGAGGCGTTCAGCAACCATGAAGACTGCCAGAGACTTGTCTACGGATGGTCATTCGGAATGGGCGATGAGTGCTTCCCCATGGACACTGGAGTCCCATTCGGCGGGAAACACCCACGATATGTTCAACTACAGCTCCACTGGACTAACAGGAACAAGGTTGCCGGCTATCGCGACATGTCCGGTGTTCGAATGTACTACACCAGCAAACCGAGGAAGTACGATCTGGGCTTCATCTCCGTGGGGCAGCTGAATCTCAACATCCCGTCGCAACAGCCGGCTGTGGAGGCGTCCTTCGGCTGTAGCAGCGGCTGCACCAAGACACTACTGGACCAGGGACCCGTGAAGCTTATCACCGGTGCGCCACACATGCACTTCCTGGGCAAGTCCATGCTCGTAGACCTGATCAAGCCCACTGGGCACCGCCAACGGATCCTGAATGACAAAGTTTACAACTATAACGCCCCGGCTACGTACGACTACCCCTCGCCGAACTATATCGACTTGGAGGCTGGCGACAAACTCGTAGGATCGTGCACCTTCAATAGTATGGACCGGAACGACTCTACATACTGGGGATACGGATCGTATGATGAAATGTGTTTCGGATTCTTTCGATACTACCCCAGTCGCGGAGCTCTGAACTGCTATCAGTACGGCGAGAACGATCTCTGCTACGACACGACAACCGTGGACGGTCCTCGCTGCAGTCTTTTCCATTACTTCGAGAACATTACCGTCACCGTCAACAACGCCATGCACGCGTGCAGTGACGTCATGCATGCCGCCGCCGCCGAACAAGCGAAGCAGGCGCAAGACCAACCGACCGGCAGCGGGGGCACAGCGACTACTCGGAATGCTCGTCCGGTGTGCACGTCTCAGTGCCTGGCGCAAGTGTCACGCATCCTAAAGGCGCACCGAGACCCATGCCAGAAGACCAGGCATCGCAAGGAGTGGAAGCTGCTGGACAGCCTCGTGTCGCAGAGGACATCCACCCTGGATGACGTGGTCAGCCATTGCCAAACAGTCGGTATGGTTGAGGAGGAGGTACAACAGCTGAACAGTGGCTCTAGCACCCTCCTCATGAGCTGTCCACTGTTTATCATAATGGCATCACTCCGCTTGTTGATTGTCTAGCACTATGATAATAAACCCTGGACTAGTTCACTGAAAAGTGTTGTTTGAGGAAGTCTTATTTCTTCCATGTTGCTACTTGATGATTCTAACGTTATCGGCATTATGCTGTTTTCACTTGTCTCTCGTTTCTTCAGCTACATGTACGTTACATTGTTGCGTTTGTCCTCTGTCCACACGATCAGCGGAATCTCTCCGTACTATGATGGGCGTTGACGTACAATGTATATCCCTTGAAGCTGCATCATGTGGCGTTATACTGCTATGAGTATGCCCGTATGAGCTATATCTTTCCATACATCTCTTCATTATTTGCAACATAACTAATGGTCATCTGAAACGTCTTCTTGATTTCCGTCGTAATAATTTGTTTCCATCCAAGCACGCAGTGGCCTAAGGATTCGCTTCTGCTTCAAATTCTATTCGGTCTTCGATTATTATTCATGCACCGATCACGCTGACTAAGTTATCGGATTTGTATAAATACCAGCTTTTGTTCTGGGAGAACAATATTGTCAGAAACCACCAAGATTGAAGTGTACATGGCTCAGTTGCTACACTTATGGTCAGGGGTGGTCTTGAAGACAGGCGTGGGATGTGACCATGGTGACTTGCCACCAGCGAAACGTACTCATTAAATTTTGGTTGTTCAACTGTTGAGTGTTGTGTTTCTCAAGTGCTATAATTATATTATTATGACTCTAGACAGTTGTCAAAAAGCCTACGGAGACGGTCCTAAGGCTGCATAGTGTTCTATGACCAGTGGACAGAGCCAGTAATACAATGATCACACCGCAATTTCACAACCAAGTTCTTTTCCGCCGTTACTCAGAGTTTCGTGTGAAACACTCATCAGACAGCATGACCAAGACTAGCATTCACTAGAATATATACGGAGGGTCTTGAGAAAAGAGGGCAGAGGTGATGGAGTTACAACATTTCAATAGCGCGAGGAAAAGGATGTGGCAAAAATTGGCGTCATTATAAAAGAAAAAAGATGTTATGTTACATAAAATTTTCACGGTTCGCGTGAGACTCGACTGGAAGCCGGGCTTTCCGCATTCGTAGGAACGCCACCACCCTTCAAGGATCAAGGCGCAGATGCAGCTCCTAATTACCTAAAGCGGTGGGAGGTGAGTAGATCAGCTCACCAGCAAGTGGTCAAAGACCGAAAATCCCATGTTATGTTACATACCAAAGGGTTAAAAGTACACGGCTGTATAGGGTATAGAGCATAGGGTAGAGGAATAGTGCGATGCTATACATGTAGCACACGCACTACTCTATAGAATCTGATAGTATAGTGCTCAATTACATGGCAACACAGCAGTACAGGTTATGACTGACACTCTATATTTATGAGTCTAATCCGACTGGATCCTATTGAGTCGACTTGAAGTACGAATCTAGTCTCTCTCTCTCTCTCTCTCTCTCTCTCTCTCTCTCTCTCTCTCTCTCTCTCTCTCTCTCTCTCTCCCCCTAGCTCTCTCCCGCTTTGAAATTCGCTTCCATAGAATCGGGCACCATTGCCCGTTTGGCCGTGCGAAGTAAAATAGAAATCAACAACAACAACAAGTCCTTCGCTTGACTCGGTACGGTACTACATGTACTAGAAGTAGATCTACTCGCTCAGTGTTCTCCCTGAACTCTCACAGCACGTCCAGGGGAGCTAACAGAGGTAGTCACCGGTCAGCATTGTATTCTTAGCTAGGTCCAACACGGAATTAGAGTGGTCTGACGTCTGTGTTTGTAGCAGCACGCTTTCCGGTTTCCGAGCGCTTTTGTTCAAGCGAGGCTCAGATGGTAGAACTCCTACGGATTGGCTTAGCACATCATGCCATATACCCGACGTTATCATCGGATTCGCGTGGCATGCCGGCAGGAGGACCCTTGATGGATCAGTTGTTGCTTTGTGTGTTTCAACTACACAGAGTCGCCTCCTGGAGTCCTGGTCCAGTTACAGTTCGCTGTGGATTGTAGAGGTGTTGTTGGCGAAGTGCTGTAGACGAACCACGGAGCGGACCGAGTCTGAACGAGCTGAGCAATGGCCGCTTGCAGCACGCTGGCTCTAGTCCTCCTGATCGTTGTCACACTGGCAGTGAAACCTGCTTGTAAGTACGCCTATCATGTTCAGACGCTGTATCCGCATGTCTCGTGGAGGTTGTGATTACGCGCAGAACAGCAAAATGGGATTTTCAGGCAGCACACACGCCTCCGAGAGCTGAATTTCGTTACAACCTCCACATTTCCGCGAGAAACCATCCTACATCGAGCATAAGCACGCGTGTAGCTCTCCACACCATAGGCATAGGTAGATTACTTTGAGCAAGTAATACTAATAGTTGAGGCTAAGCCCTGGTTGGTTGGCATGAACAAGAAAAGTGAAAAGTCAAAGCCTTGGACTGTACCGCAGGACATCTGGTAAAAAGCATTGGGGGCTAGGGGAGGGGGGGGGGGGGCAGAGAGAAACTAAAAATAATGAGGCTGACAAGATAGGCCATGCAGTCAGAAAAACGGATGTGGCTGTGTAGTGTTCATCTAGACTGTCCTGACATAAAACTGTCGGCAAGGCCACTGTGCCAGTCTGTGGTGACCCGTCACCGGTAGTAGTTGGTGTGATATTGTATGTACTTCAGAGGACATGGATCAATTGTATCACATTATTCATACAATTGGCACGCTCATTTAGCTAGCGCTAATATGTAGTCTGTAGCGCTAATACGTATTATGTAGTCTGTACATAAGGCACTTTCCTTATGTACGTAACTCGTTGATTCATTCTATCCAAGTTCGTGGAACATAACAGTAGTCGTGTACATTGTCATAGCACTCTGTGTCGTGTTGCTATCCATGGATGATGTACCTGGTTGTGGAGTGCATGCATTATGCCTACTTTTCACTCACAAAGCGACTGTTCAGTACATGGGGTAGTGGTCTACCAGGGCAATCACACTCACCACCGTGGTGGTTTTCCAGAAATGAGTAGAAGCAAAAAACCACACTCGCAGCCCCAGAATAGATAAATAGCCGAAAAACATCTAAATCCATCAAAGAACCGCCAGCAAGCGGGAGAAAAGGCCGTGAAATCAAGTGAAACAGCATGGCCAGTGGTAAGCATGGGTGACTGGGCAGCAGGGGAGCGCCTGAAAAACAATGACTCCCTACATTCCCAGCCGCGACCGCTCAACCGGGCTAGAGGAAAAACACGCCTTTCGGCCAAAAAACCTTTCTATTTTCATTAATTCCTGCCCCGCTGCCAGTCAGACCCAAGAATAGAGATAGCAAGAAATGGTATGTAATAACCGGTGTATGTCATAATCATAAGCCACACACATAGGCATAGATTGTCAAGAAGAACAGCGGACGACTCCCATGAAACCAGGGTGGGTGGGCGGGCAACTTCAACTACCACGAGGAAAAACAAAGACCACGATGGCAGGTTCAGCGGAGTTGCGCAGAACAAGAGCAAATGCACGAAAAAATTTTGTGAGTGAAAAATACGTTTTTTGCACTCTTTCGCTACGCTCAGCCGTGAAAAAACAAAACAATTCTCTCTTCACCTTCTTCCTGCTCATACCCACACAGGTATTACTACAGTTGCGCTCGCTGAAACCTGACCCAATGTGCAAAGCTGATGCCCTCAACTTCCACGGCCCTTGATGCCCTAGCTGGAAGTGGCACAAATGCGGCTGGACGTACACATGTACACAATGATGTAATCGGAACTAGTCCAGGGCGCCAGCTTTGCACTTTTATTTGGGTCGGATTTCAGTGAGCGCAACTGTAGTATAGTGTTGGAAAACTGAATATTCGTGCTAGACCTGTACGAAGTGCTCCATGATCGCAATCCCTGCAGATAAAGCCACATAGCCATCCTTTCCCCCATCCTTTCCCCCATCCTTTCCCCTATCCTTTCCCCCATCCTTTCCCCCATCCTTTCCCCCATCCTTTCCCCCATCCTTTCCCCCATCCTTTCCCCCATCCTTTCCCCGTCCTTTTCTTTCACATTCGCGCCTGTAGAGCACTGCTGACAACTTCCCTTTCAATTCGCCCAAAATCGCTCCCAAACGCCAACAGGAGTATTCTGGATGAATGGATTGTAGTTTTAAACTATGCGGATGGCTATTGTTGTTGTTGTTGTTGTTGTTGTTGTTGTTGTTGTTGTTGTTGTTGTTGTTGTTGTTGTTGTTGTTGTTGTTGTTGTTGTTGTTGTTGTTGTTGTTGTTGTTGTTGTTGTTGTTGTTGTTGTTGTTGTTGTTGTTGTTGTTGTTGTTGTTGTTGTTGTTGTTGTTGTTGTTGTTGTTGTTGTTGTTGTTGTTGTTGTTGTTGTTGTTGTTGTTGTTGTTGTTGTTGTTGTTGTTGTTGTTGTTGTTGTTGTTGTTGTTGTTGTTGTTGTTGTTGTTGTTGTTGTTGTTGTTGTTGTTGTTGTTGTTGTTGTTGTTGTTGTTGTTGTTGTTGTTGTTGTTGTTGTTGTTGTTGTTGTTGTTGTTGTTGTTGTTGTTGTTGTTGTTGTTGTTGTTGTTGTTGTTGTTGTTGTTGTTGTTGTTGTTGTTGTTGTTGTTGTTGTTGTTGTTGTTGTTGTTGTTGTTGTTGTTGTTGTTGTTGTTGTTGTTGTTGTTGTTGTTGTTGTTGTTGTTGTTGTTGTTGTTGTTGTTGTTGTTGTTGTTGTTGTTGTTGTTGTTGTTGTTGTTGTTGTTGTTGTTGTTGTTGTTGTTGTTGTTGTTGTTGTTGTTGTTGTTGTTGTTGTTGTTGTTGTTGTTGTTGTTGTTGTTGTTGTTGTTGTTGTTGTTGTTGTTGTTGTTGTTGTTGTTGTTGTTGTTGTTGTTGTTGTTGTTGTTGTTGTTGTTGTTGTTGTTGTTGTTGTTGTTGTTGTTGTTGTTGTTGTTGTTGTTGTTGTTGTTGTTGTTGTTGTTGTTGTTGTTGTTGTTGTTGTTGTTGTTGTTGTTGTTGTTGTTGTTGTTGTTGTTGTTGTTGTTGTTGTTGTTGTTGTTGTTGTTGTTGTTGTTGTTGTTGTTGTTGTTGTTGTTGTTGTTGTTGTTGTTGTTGTTGTTGTTGTTGTTGTTGTTGTTGTTGTTGTTGTTGTTGTTGTTGTTGTTGTTGTTGTTGTTGTTGTTGTTGTTGTTGTTGTTGTTGTTGTTGTTGTTGTTGTTGTTGTTGTTGTTGTTGTTGTTGTTGTTGTTGTTGTTGTTGTTGTTGTTGTTGTTGTTGTTGTTGTTGTTGTTGTTGTTGTTGTTGTTGTTGTTGTTGTTGTTGTTGTTGTTGTTGTTGTTGTTGTTGTTGTTGTTGTTGTTGTTGTTGTTGTTGTTGTTGTTGTTGTTGTTGTTGTTGTTGTTGTTGTTGTTGTTGTTGTTGTTGTTGTTGTTGTTGTTGTTGTTGTTGTTGTTGTTGTTGTTGTTGTTGTTGTTGTTGTTGTTGTTGTTGTTGTTGTTGTTGTTGTTGTTGTTGTTGTTGTTGTTGTTGTTGTTGTTGTTGTTGTTGTTGTTGTTGTTGTTGTTGTTGTTGTTGTTGTTGTTGTTGTTGTTGTTGTTGTTGTTGTTGTTGTTGTTGTTGTTGTTGTTGTTGTTGTTGTTGTTGTTGTTGTTGTTGTTGTTGTTGTTGTTGTTGTTGTTGTTGTTGTTGTTGTTGTTGTTGTTGTTGTTGTTGTTGTTGTTGTTGTTGTTGTTGTTGTTGTTGTTGTTGTTGTTGTTGTTGTTGTTGTTGTTGTTGTTGTTGTTGTTGTTGTTGTTGTTGTTGTTGTTGTTGTTG